GCGAACTTTTAAATTGTTTAGTCGTCATTCTTCACCCCTTAATTGTATCATCTCATTGGAACCACTTCTTAAAAAGGATTTCAACGGGTTCGATGGGGCTGTTGGAGAGCACCTGCTAGAGGTTTAAGGTGGTGGTGATAGATGGACCAAATTTTGGCCCATAATTGAACGTCTTGCATGGATTAGCCAAGGTGATCGGATTTGAGGTTAAGGAGGGAATAAATTCTTGGGTGAATTAATGGTGTGGAGATGATGGATAACTTGATAATAGGATCAGAAACTTTGAAGATAAACAACTTCTACTTGTAGACCTCAGAAACGGGACTACCGTCAGTTCTGAGCAAAATTCTCCCCGAGGCAATGATAGCTTTCTTGGAGAATCATCCTCCCGAGAAGTTTGCTGAAATCTTTCTGGGAAATTTCGACACACCTGAAGCTATTTGGAATCAGGAGATGCGGTTAGTTGGTCCTGCTATTCCCCTTTTTTGTTTATAAAAAAAGGCCTAAACCTTGTCCATTCTTCTGAGCCCATTCCTACCATTCACAGGCGTTTCATGATATCACGACTAGCCGCGCATCTTGCCGATTTTACTCCCCGATTGAAGAGTAACGTGCGCTCCATCTACCATCACATTGGCATTCCACGAATTGTCTATGAACAACTGGAGGGCGAACTCTTCTGCAATCGTTACTACCTTCGGCATTTCTGCGACACTGCACGATTTCCAGATTGGCCAGTTAAAGATCCAGTGAGTTTATCGCCTTTTTTTTTGCCAAAATTTGTACAAAATGTCAGTCTAGTCGTCTTTGTTCCTGCACTTGCAGATAGCCTTGCTACGCGACATTTTGGCGTTTTGGCGTGTGGAGACGGAGAAGAAGCCCTCAAGGATCACCTATGAGGATTCGTTGCGGGAATTGGGTTTGGAGGCCAGTCAATTGAACGAGTGAGTCGACTAGGTAGACTGGAAGTAGAGACGGTGGGGTGAGGATTGCTACTTTCCTTTCCACAGTCTCTGGCGATAACAGTTGAAGTGCATTTACTGCATCTCAATCGT